GAATTTCTCTATTTTCAATACTAGAAAATTAAATTATTCTATAACCTAAGCTATGGAGACAATTTAGCCAAGATGAAAGGAGCGTATTTTGCTTTTAAATGTTGCCTGTCACTTAGATTCTAGTGCATGTTTACAATGATTATTTGTTGTATAAATAAGTTATAAGTAAGTTTATTTACTCTTAAAGCAATATTTTTTAGATGTTTTATTTAAAAATATACAGCTAAAGGTTTGTGTTAACACTAAGAACTCCAAACCAAAACGTATTTTAGATGTTAAACAAGATCTGTAAAGGATGATAACTCATATTCTATCATTTTACACTTCAGATTGATGATCTTGAACTGTTGTTTTAGCATAAAATATTGTTTTTATTTTTAAGTATTTTGGTAATTAAAGACTAATGCACAAATTTGAAATATTGGAACTAATAGATTACAAACATCCATACTTGTAATGTTGATTAAGAATTTTCTAATAAAATACCATGTCTTTTTATCTCATTAAAATAATAGAAAATTTCTAAGATAAAAAAAGTCCTTACATGAATAAAAACAGAAATATGTTTAAAATACAAGATATAGGTATATCTTTGTACATTTAAAACTTTTCTTTACTATTTGTAACATATTTTAACTGTCATTTGTTACATAAATGTTCATTTCTAATACTGTAATTGAACTACTTGTTTATGGCTCTACCAGTGCTACACAATTTCAGAAAATTGTGTAATGCTCATCAAAACAGTGATCACACTGTGAAAGGCGTTTATTAATAATATAAAAATTTACTTAACTGACTCAATCTATTGAGAAAACGAGACAACTAAATCATTAGCATGCATCCCTTAAATGTTCAGAACCACAGAGTTTTGTTGTGGTAACTCTAAAAATCTACAGAATTAATTTCCTATAAGTTAATAATAATAATGGTTCCACCTCTCACCCAATTTCTCTATATAGGTCTCTGTAAGAATATCCACATGATAGTTTTCAACTCTCTGACCTGATAGAAATGTCAGCCAAATGACTACTACTATTTTCCTGACAGGATAGACAGACTTATAAAATGTGAACCTATTCGTGGAGAAATGAAAAGATCTTACCATTTACAGCTTGGGTAATACTAACATTAAAGCAGGCAGGAGAATATAATTAAACCAATTATTTAGAGTTGGTAATAAAAACCCAAATAGTAGCCTTGAGAATGTCCTTTCAATTGAAGACATTACTCTTTTTATATTTGCCCGATACAAAAATTAAACAGATATCAAGATCTACAGGATAGGGGCAGACAGAAAAATAAAGGCCATTTTTTTTTTTTTTTTGAAAACAAACAAATAAACATCCCTTTATAAGAAGACCTGGAACACATGTTTCTAGACACTGTGCTTTATAGGCAAAAAAGTATGGGACATATCTTGGTGGGGGAAAAAAAAACAAAACACCAAGCAGATGTGGTTAAAACGAAAACCTGTAAAGGTTCCTTATTCTCCAAAGTCATTTCATTCTTATAAAGAATACTAAAATCATTTTCTATGATATAATCAATTTTGGCACACAGTTTTTCCTTCTATCCTCCAACTGAATTTGTTTTATAGTATTACAGTCTAGGGCAGTGCTGTTCAGTAGAAATAGAAGGAGAGGTTGGTAACCTCAAATTTTTTAGTAGTCACATTAAAAAAGAAAAAAAAACAGGTGAAATTAATTTTAATAATTTATTTCATGTAACCAAAATATTATTTCAATGTGTAATCAATAAAAAATCTTAAGAAGGTAGTTTACTTTTTTTTTGGTACTAAATCTTCAAACCACCACTCATCTGTCAGTTAGTTGTGGTGGCTTGTGTGAAGCTGTGAGGCTGGAAGCTAGAAGCTATACCACCAGTATTTCAAATACCAGCAGGGTCACCCTTAGTGGACAGGTTTCAGTGGAACTTCCAGACTAAGACAGACTGGGATGGATGAGGCCATCCACTTCTGAAAAACCTTATGGCCACTGAAAACCTTATGAACAGCAGTGAAACAGTGTCTGATATAAAACTTTGTGCAAGCATAGCAAGGATTGTGAGGATGATACAGGAGCAGGCGGTGTTTTGTTCTGTTAACAGGGTGGTTATGAGTTAGAGCCGACTTGACGGTATCTAACAACAACAACAAATCTTCGAAATCTGGTGTGTATTTTATGTTAACAGCATATCTCAATTCAGAGTAACCATAAAGTGCTCAATAGCCACATGTGGCTACTGTATTGGACAGTCCAGGTCTAGAGGGACTTTTCATTTCCTCAAAGACTTGATTATCTACGTATTTTTCCTTCTTCAAACCTTTCATTAATGCACACTAGTTTACATACTATTTGATTTATGTGTTAGTCTAGGATTGCATGAAGCTGACCTTTTACATAATGTTTTACATATTGTTTGTTAATATAATTAATAGTTTTAAACAAGAAGAGCAGTTCTCAGGGGTTCAACAGTTTCTGGGTTCAGGTTATTGTCCAGCTCTTCAGCTCTCTTCACTGGAACATGGCTAAATCTGTGTAATAGTTGAGGAACATATAATAATCACATAATTTGAAAAATGCCTCAACTGTTGACTGAACTGTTACTAAATAAGCTAAGGGCCCAGTGTTTCAGTGACTTACTCTGCATCTGATCTAAATGACTGTCCCTAAGACATTACTGAGAGCAGAAATTAGCTTCAGACACATCTGGAATCCATGACATGAACAGCTGGCATAGACAAACCACTGATGAAGATGAGTCAATATATTCGGCAGCATGTAGCACTATGTCATAAGGGACTTTACAGGAGACACTGGGACAAACATGTTTCAAGACACTAATACATTCACACAGAATAACGAGTAAGAATGTGGTATGGGTACACAGACTGGATGCTGCGGTCACCATGGCAAGTACTCACTTTTTCAGATCATTCTGCTTCTTTTTGGCTTGTGCACGCCACTGGTGCATAGCAGGGAAGAAGCCACTTGTGTACAGTGGAAAAAGTATATAACTAATAAAACTGCATTTTACTGAGAAATAATTGTATCACAGCTGTCACTGAATTAATTCCATAAGATCATCAATAAAACAGGTGCATTAAATTTTTATGAATCAGAACTCTCTGTTTGCTGATTCATAATCTGGCCAGTATGCAACGAGAATATGATGCATCAAAGAAAGCATTATATAATCTTCATGCAGTAAAATTGTAACTAGCACCTCAAAAAGAGTTAATGCAACATTAGACACATTAAAGAAGGAACTTGGTGCATACGAATGTTCTGAATATGAGAAAATGATAATAATCACAATTTATTTTCTAAATTAAAAAGTCAAAAATAGTATTTTGCATGAAATTTTAAAGACAAGCTTAGGTTATAATGGTGATTTTGAAGATTTGAAAAGGATTACAGGAAAGCACATAGCAATGCTGGTTTTTGGGGAAAAGAATTTGGGGGAATGGAGCTTATCCTGAACTGTGATGTTCTGAGAGCGTATGTTGCAACAAACTGTGCCAATTTCAAATTTGTATAGGTGATATCTACAGATTTATGTAACTATCATTACTGGAGAATTCCAAATAGTCCTCACCTGTCAAGCAGCGTTCACCTGAGGAAAACTGTGCTAAATATCTTAGGCATGGGATTCTACAATGATCTGACTCTGATAGGCAGTGATTACTGTTAAAACACTGTGTATGTTTTTCTATGTGAGTTAAGTAAAGAACAGAGAACTTGGTAAATACTAAGCAAATTGCTTTTAATTATTACTATGTGTCATTGGAAAGAAGCATTTCTTCTTTATAGATTAACAGCTACCAACATAAAATTTATCCCCAAGTCCTGGGAATATTTAATATATAATTTTTTTGATTCAAATTTGATGTGATATGTTGTTATAATTTTCATTACGTACAACTTAGTGTTTAGAAGAAAATAAAACCACACATGTTAGCGGCAGCTGGAGATAAGTTCTGCTGATATTCAAGAAATATGTTGCCATAATTTAGCTTGTGATATAAATGCCTTCATGAAGACTGTAAATGGACACTTTTCTAATTCTAGAAACAGTCATATAATCGGAACTGAATCACTGCATTTACCATTGCATTAGGGAAAAAATGAAATGTTTAAAATAACGATTTAATCTAAATTATAAGATAAATGCAAGTAAAAATATTTTCCATTTAAGAATTTAAGACTGGTAGTTCCACAGAGTGGTGATGAGTACATTATACATATTTATGTGGATTTTACAGGGTGTTTCAAAAGTCCCTGAGGACATAGAGCAGTCACAGTCTCAGCGTGTCTTTGCATACAAAATGCAAACTTTTTTCTATACTTGTTATAATAAATGCTGAAAATGGCCCTCATGTGCTTATAATAGAGATGATATTTTTGTTGTCAAGGTCACAAAGTATAAGAGGTCACAAATGCCATTTTCTGCATGGGGACTCAGGGACTTCTGGCACATTCCTGTAAATTGGTTATCCGCATAAATATGTATAGACATATATGTAGTATGCATAGTCACAACATAAATATATTTAACATTTAAGAAAATTTAGATATTCTACTGGTAAACTGACATATGTATACAGTACAACTTGTATTTATTCATAGGAATTTGTTTTTTTTTGATTATTGTTCAAATGTACTTAATTGTTATTTCTTTCCCAAAGTTGTTATCAAGACTCCTTTATAAAGAAGCAACATGTTTTACTTGCATGTACATGTTCTCTTTCTTTTTAAAGCTAAGGTTGAGTAATGAAAATTAAAATTCACAAATAAGTAACTAAATGATGGAATTTTCCTTTTTTTAAAAAATCAATTTTGGTTTTCATTTTATATTTGTATAATTGTTTCAGTGAAACTGTCTTTTTAAAAAAATTGGTTCAAGAGTTAATGTTTTTTGTTTTCTAGTTAACAATCACAATGTCTGATATATTAACATATGTCAGCTTCCTACAGGAACCCTATGGGTCTGCCCACCTGTGATGTCATAGTAAGGAGGGGCTTTTCTTCAGCAGACTCCTCCCTCGGTATCTCCTTCATCACCATGGCAACAGCCTTATCTGCCGCCCTAGAGCCTTTTCCCTATAACAGTGAAATCAACAATGACTTGTGTCAGGAGAAATCTTTTAACTTATTATTTATTACAAGATATTCTAATGTTTCAAGAGCAATCCAACATAAATGAAGAGGTAGGCTGCTGGAAGTGAATCTTGAGGCTTTTGGCTGAGGAGAAAACACATGAAGTCTGAAAAAAGATTATTTGTGAGTTTTTAGTTAGCTATTTTTTTTCACCTTTACAGCTGACATATTCTATTTAATTTTAACATAGTATTTTATATGTATAATAAATTTTAAGGCAATTTACATGACCAGAGCATAGTTTTATCAATTTTAAAACACTACGGATTGCCTATTAAGTGCATTTATAAGTTACATAAACCTTAAATACTAGGAAGGACAGTGGGGAATCTGGGACAGGGGTCAGGATCAGGGTGTGACTCCCACAGAAGGCTTCTGTTGTGTAGTCTCAGGAGTCTTTGTCATTTTTGAGTGGACTGTGCACAAAAAGGGTAAAAACATCACAAAAGCTCTGAAAAGTTTCCAGTGGCCTGACATCACAGGAATTCAGACAGCTTATTTTGTGGAGATAATATGATCTTGGTAAAAAGAAAAAGTTACAACTTTCAGTGTTTTTAAGACCAAGAAATTTTAATTGAATTACAGAAGTATCTTTCAGAGAATTCCATAAATCCCGTAAGTAAAGGATAATAACTGAGGTACTGATATATACATATAAATCCCTGGATTATTTGTTTTACACTGCAAAATTATGGACAGAAAAGGGAGAGAATGACTTTCTGTCTCTTGAGTTTACCAGTTTATTAAGTTTTTGAGAATAAATCAGGCATAATGGAAAAAACAAAATAGGACTTTCCCAGCCTGATTAGAAACAACTCATACTATGTAAAAATTAAATAATCTTTAAATACTTTCAAAACAAAAGGAACTCCCATTTTTCCTCAGGTCTCTGGGCAGAGCTTCCCTGGAGAAAATAATTTAAACAAAGAGCACAAATAATGTTATAAATCTACTTAAACTAAAACTGTCTTATACAGAAATATCATAGACAAAAACCAAAAGTGGACACATGAGGTCCACTGTCTGAAAAGGGAACTAAAAGCTAGGTTCATTATCAATTGCTGAGGTTATTAAATCTTGATAGTTTCTAAGCAATGAAAAAAAGAATTAAATCATTTTTTTGGGGATTTGCATAGGGATTTAAATATTTTCTCAGGTATTGCCTTTTTAAAATATAACCACTGAAAGCTTTTATTTATGAGAACAAAGAAAAACTTTGCCAATAGTTACTAGATGTGAAAATGTGCAAATCTTTTTATAGTGTTGAAAGGTTGTTTCTTTGGTTTGTTTTGACTTAAGAACTACCATTATGGAATGACAACGTTACTTCCAAGATGGAATATCAGATGCTAGAGATTTTTTTCAACATATAAAGAATAGTAATTTTCATATGTGTCCTGAAAGATTTAAATTGCCACAACACTTAGAGACTGACTGACTTCTGGAAGAATAAAGGGAACTGGAGTGATTCACTCCATAAAAAACTGGGGTACATAATGATCCCAGGTTTCTTCTCTAATAAAACAATGTGAACTTCGTAAAACAGAGATGCATATAATTCTGTATTTTGGGAAAAGATTTATTATGGTACTATTAAACTATTTAACATTTTTCAAAATGTAAAAATTATTTGGATGATATATTACATACTATACGCTTAGTACACTTTTTTACATGTTACATTCATTTACAGACTAAATATACTTTATAACAAATACTTTTGCAGCTGATTTTTTTTGAAAGAGCAAAATCGTCTGTGAAGAATTCTTTCCATGCTCCCAGAAGTTCTAATGATATAGCAATAAACAAAGTGGCATGCTTATGTTTAAATTCCTAATTCATTTAAAAGAACAAATGTAATGTTACAAGGTATAATTTTAAAAAATAATAATTCAAACTCTGTTTTTAGGCTAAGAAAAACAAATGTCAATTGATAAGCATCTCAAAGACTTCAGGTCAATTTTTCAATATATCATTGATTTGAAATGCTACCAATCCATAAACTACACATTGATAGTTTTTACATGTGCAACTAGAATAGCTAGAATTAGCAACGGACATGCCATTTCACTAAAACAAAAACAAAAACAAAACAAAAATTAGTCCTTTCATGCTGAAATCTAGAACAAAGCAGTGGTCAGCTAGAAAGGATGTATAATAAACACATGCGGTGCTTTTTATTTCTTGCAGAAAAAACCCACCAAAGCCAGGGTCAGGTCACTTTTTTGAAGACAGTGCCACTTTTTCTTCAAGGTTACACCTACTACCTGAAAAGAGTCATGACACCCATGTTAGTGCCTGCTAGCAACTTTTTTTCTTTATAGCTTTTGGCTTTTGAGATAATACCTCACGAGCCTTACTGTTTTACAAGTGTGGTACAATGCAAGGACAGAATGGGAAGGTCTGTCACGGTGACATCCCCATGGCTCCAGATAAATTGTCTAAAACCACTGCCAAATCAAGCGACTACACTCATAGATCAAAGCAAGATGTCCCCCCAGATTGTATTGCCACTTCCTCCTGATATCTTAAAATCAAGCTATGTTATTTTTGACTCATCCATTTATCTTGTGGGATGATGCTTCTAGAATTCAGAACCTGATCTGGCAATTCATGAAACTGTACAAGGTTTGCTTATCAGCAGCTCTGCAGGGCTCTCAGTAATATAGCCATGTAGGTTTCTTTCCTTTTTGCAGTGGTATAAAACATTGTAAGAATATATATAACATATATATATATAAAATATAATATATGCATAATTATTTACAGTTCAAACTCAATTCTCTAAATATAACCACACCAAAGGGTCAATACTGATCTATTATATAAAACAACATGAGGACAGCAGAAAAAAACTTATAGTTAATATACACTTATGCAAATAAACAACTTTGGACTACATTAAGTCTGTATGCTTCTATTTCTTTCTTTGCAATAATAGAGATGAAAATGTAGAAGTTGATATCACATTATATGACACTCTCTGGCAACTATTTGAGTCTACATATTTTCAAATATTTCAAAATCATTTCCCCTCCTTACTTATTTGTTGTAGGAGCCTTGGTATTTAGTGGTTAAAGTGCTTGTCTGCTAACTGAAAGGTCAGTGTTTGAACTCACCAACTGATCTGCAGGAGGAACATGTGGCAGTCTGCCTTCGAAACCCTATGGGGCAGTTCAACTCTGTCCTATAGGATTGTACAAATCAGAATCTACTCAGCAGCAATGGGTTTCTGGTTGTGGGTTGAATTTCTTGAGATATTCTTGACTATTTGGGAAGCAGTACCAGTCTAAGGTGAAACTTCTATTTTCCTATTTTTACTGCTGTGGAAGTAAACCTGGTTAGCAGTCAAATGCCTTAGGCACTTACTAAGAACAAAAGAATAAATGTGTCATTTAACATTTATTAAGAAAACTCAATTTTGGCCTTTTTTTTTTTTTAATATAGAATGTAAGAATTAGAGTACAGAATACTGGAAGTCACAGAATCTTCTCTGGCTGGATACCAGATTATGGAACCACCACTCAGAAGAAAAGGTATTGGCACCAAGCCTACTAAAGGGCCATGCTTCGTTTCACAGGGAGGCGAACAATTTTTGTGCCAGATGTTTTGTGTATTTTTACTTATTAGATCTTATGAGAAGGCTGGCGGTTCAAACCCACCAGCCACTCCTCGGAAGGAAGATGGGGCAATCTACTTCTGTAGAGATACTGCCTCGGAAACCCAAGGAGGGGTCACTATGAGTCGGGTCCGACTCGATGGCACATAACAACAACAACAACAACATGAGAACTCTATGGAGTAGGTATTCTTATCTTTGCTATAGAGGTCAAGATACTGAGACTCAGAGACAGTGATGTGTCCAAAGCTTCAAAGCTAGTATGTGGCTGACTCAGGACAAGGACCCACATCTGCCTTTGAAGTCTGTGTTCCTCTTTCTCTGCCACACAGTATTCAGCCACCTGGTTAAGTGAGGCTGGAGGCCTCCCCCACACCAGCCTCACTGATTGCTGTAACGTGAGTAGTTTATGTTATCACCACAGTTTTGGGCAAGAGCCACTTCACAGTATAATCACACAGACTGGCTCTAAGCAAATTAAACATTTTTGAGAAATATTTTCCTTCTCCAGTCTGGAATGGTCAGCAAGAACCAGCTGCCCACACTTCATTTACTAGCACATTTTGAACAAAATAAAATGCTTTTGTTTCTTTTATCTTTATGGAAAACTAACCTAAGCCTTTCATATATACCAACTTCTTTTTATTCTGTAGATCTTGTAAGTTTATATACTTTGTGGCTCTTGTTATTTGCTGCTGAGTTGGTTCTGACTCATGGCGACCTTACAAGTTTTAGTACCTCCCTAGTTGGAACCCAGGGAGCTCTTGTGGCACAGTGGGTTAAGGCATTTGGCTGCTAACCAAAAGGTCAGTGATTCAAACCCACCAGCTGCTCCATGGAAGGAAGATGAGGCAATTTACTTCCATAAAGATTTACAGCCTTGGAAACCCAATGGAGGTTGCAATGAGTAAGAATTGACTTGACGGCAGTGGGTTAACTTGAACTCACCCAATAGCTCCTTGGGAGAAAGACCTGGTGATCTGCTCTAATAAAGAATATGCAAAAACGCAACCACTGCCGTGGAGTCGGATCTGACTCATAGAGACTCCTTGGGTTTGCAAGGTGGTTGTTATGTGCCGTGGAGTCAGACCTGACTCATAGTGACCCCTCCTTGGGTTTCCGAGGTGTTATCTCTATGGAAGTAGGTTGTCCAATCTTCCTTCTGAGGAGTGGCAGGTGGGTTTGAACCACCAGCCCTCTGGTTAGCAGTCAAGTGCCTTAGGCACTATGCCACCAGAGCTCCCTCATATACAGCCTAGAAAACCCTATGGTGGAAGTTCCTCTCTGTCTCATGGGGTCGCTATGAGTGGAAATTAAGGCACTT